CCTTTCTTCTTGGCCTCTTTCCCTGACGTAATTCAGCCCCATCCCCAAAAATCAAGGCTCCAAGGGCCAGGGCCTGGCGCTTGGGGGGCATCTCAAAAGCAGGGGCCACGCTCGTCATCTGGGGGCACCTGGAGGCTGCTGGCGCGCCCATGAAGTGGCCCTCCTCGATGGCCCCTCAATGAGGGCGGCCTGAGCCCGGCTCAGCAGGCAGGGGCCTGGGCCCCAGGGCTCACCGCGCGCGGTTATAAACGCAGCTGCCTCCCCTTCCTCCTCCACGTCTTCCTCCTCTTACCTGGCCCGAGATCTGGACGAGCTCCTGGCTGATAATTGAGGCGGCCATGGCCCGCAGCGCACGTGCAGAGTCCTGGGGCAGCCTCCCTGCAGGAGGAGCTCAGCGGCCCATGGCGTCCTGGCTTGCTCGCTGCACTAATGGCTCCTTGGCGCAGCAGCTGTGGGCGCGCACGCCCCGCTGCCCTTAAAGTGGCCCTGCCACTGGCCTGGCACCTGGGGGAGCTATAGTCCGCTCCAAGGAGCTCTCCCAAGGTCTCCTCAGGGCTGTCAGGAGACTGTCATTGACCCCCTGACCAACCCCAACTCCCTTATCCAAAAGGATCTCACACCAATAGGCCTGGGGTAGAACGGCCACTGCCCCCCGCATAAATGGGAAGCCCAGCCTTACCTCAGGCTGGCCAAAAGACTTCAGTCTTCCCTTCTGACAGAATGCTAGGAATTTAGCAAACACAGGTTTTTCTCCTTATTCAACACGCACTCGTGATCGGGAAAGCAAGTACTATGTATGGTGCTTTCTTCTCAAACTGCTAAATTAAAAATTTTAGAAAGACTTGATTTTGTCCTGTGATTCCACAAACACTGTCCCCATATTATCAACTGAAAGAGTGAGGCAATAAGAAATCTTCTGGCAGAGGCTCTAACCCCTTTATTCAGCCTTCATTAAGCATTTTGTCGCCATCTATGGAGACCCGGGGTTCATAAAGGATACTTCCTCTTGTCTGTCTTTACTACCACTATGATTTTTCCAGTGCTAGAAGGGAGGGTTGCTTTGGTTTTGGGTAGACACCTGATCTCACTTGAATGCGTCAAACGAAAGTGATCTATGGGAACCACCACTGCAGACAGTTGGTATCTGGGCAGGCATCCTGGTTCAGGAGCAGCAGGTGCTGTGCTCTGGGGGCCTGATTTGGAACATGAGAATATGCAAAAGTATTGCTGTGGTTTTATACTGTTTTGATAGAAAGAAAAGGTACAAATAAAGTTCTGAAGAAATCATTCTGTTTTACTTTTGGAAGTACACTTGGCTCTCTGAATCTGTAGGTTCCCCATCTATGGATTCAACCAAAGGTAGTTTGAAAATATTCAAAAAAGAAAATTTTGTCTGTTCTAAACATATGCAAACAATTTTTCCTATTTCACAAACAATACAGTTATAACAATTATTTACATAGAATTTACATCATATTACATATCAGATTATACCTTATCTGAAATGTTTGAGATCTAAAATATTTAAGACTTTGAAGTTGTAGATTTGGGAATATTTACATGTATGTAATGAGATATATTGGGTAATGGGATCCAAGTCTAAGCAAGAAATTTGTGTTTCATAAATACTTTGTACACACGGACAGTTAATTTTATTCAAAATTTTAATGATTTTCTCACTTGAGAAAAATGGTGATACAACTTGTGGGGTCATGTCAGGACTTTAAAAAATTGCAAATTTGGGGGCATTTTAGATTTTTGAATTAGGCAGGTTCCACCTACACAAGTAATGTACAGATGAAGTATATAGGGTCATATGAGTAGGTTATACACAAATACTACACCATTTCATATAAGGGGCTTGAGCATCTGAAGATTTGGGTATGTGCAGCAGTTGTGGAAACAATTCCATTTAAACTAAGGGACAACTGTAAATGTTCACACTTTAATAAACATGAATATCACCTCTTTATTGCTTTTCCAACTAATCAGGGTCTGACAGTATCTAGATAAATGCCTGGGAGGCAGTTGGTTTGCCCACCAATACAGGGCAACGAGGGAAGTCATGGCTAGACATTGGGGTGAGGTAGGAATTGAAGCAGTTTTGAGCATCTCCTCCTGAACAGTAACCAGGTTTTTGTTGCTCAAGAGGGTAAGAATAGTAAGTCTGATGCTAACAGTGTCAAGGACATTTGTTGAAATTAACAAAGACATATTGTTTTTGAGTTTGAATTTTAAAATGCCTCTAAGATTAGGTGAGAGGAAAGCATCACTCTTATGTTGAAAGAAGAAAAAAAAAACAAATTTCTTCTGTAACTAGAATATAACTGTTCATACTTCAAAAAGAATCAGCCTAAATATTTTTGTTTTCAATCTTCAGAAAGAGAAAAGAAAAAGAAAGCTTACTTTATAAAAGAACAAACATTTACTATAAAACAATGGCACTCCCTGAAGGGGACTGTGCTCCCCATGAGACATTCTGCAATATCTGGAGGCAGATTTCATCATCACAATTGGGGGGTGAACTGGCTTCAAATGAATGTAGTTCAAGGATGCTGCTAACTATCCTACAAGGCACAAGACAGCCTTCTACAACAGAATTACCTGTCCCCAAATAGCATTAGTGTAGAGGTTGGGAAAATATTTAATGAAAGAATGAATTAAGGTCATTTTAGTCATTGAGTGTGACCTTAGGAATCATATTATCTTGTCCAAATGTGGCTTTCTAGACTTAAGAGTTCAATCAAGTCAACTAGATTAGTTTCTATTCCCTAACAGTTCTGGGATTCCCACCAATAGGGACTCACACATCCAGCTAAAGGAACTTTTCTTGAAATTATAGTGTTAGATGAATCAGCTAAAGCCCAAAGATGTCCTGGGAAGTCCTTAAGGGATGATCTTTACCGTCAAATCTCTTTGACATAGTTTATGATTTGGAAACCAAGCTGGATATTTCCTCTGATCTTCCCCAGGATACTAATTTATTTGTTGGTCTTCTTTGATTCTGATCCCAGCCTAAAAAAATTTTCTCGTCCCACTTTCCCTGCATCAAAGAAGTTAGAACCTCTCCTGCTTGCATACCTCCTTTCTGCCTCATGTTCAGTTTTTCATATCCTTAAAGTATAGCTCTGACAACAGCTGCATTGTCTAAGGTTTAGCACTCTTACCCCTAAACATTCTCATTTGTCCTGGCTTGGGTTTCACCCATGCTATGCACTGACTCACACTTTCCTTCTGTGGTTACTCTGGGGAGACAACAGGAAATTTTCAAAGTATTTCTAAATCTACCCACTATAGACTGAATATTTGTATCCCCCTAAAATTCATATATTTAAATCCTAATTCCCAATGTGATATTAGGAAATGGGACCTTTAAGATGTCATTAGATCATGATACAGGAATCCTCATGGATGGTATTAGTGCCCTTATAAAAGAGAGAGGTCCCTTGCCCCTTCTACCATGTGAAGTACAGTGAGAAGACACCATCTATAAACTAGGAAGCAGGGCCTCCCCAAACATAAATCTGCTGATATTGTATTGATTTTGGTCTCCCCAGCTTTCAGAACTGTGAGAAATAAATTCCTTTTCTTTATAAGCCACTCTATGGTATTTTGTTATAGTATCTCAAATAGTCTATAACAACCTCTCACACCTGTGCTCAATAATTATAACTCCATAGCAGTAGCATGATAAAGCAGACACTGTTTTACTAGATTTCAAATCCTACTATCTAATTGGTAGAAGATAAAAATAAATACATATTTTCCCCATTGAGTTAGGAACTACTGCCCTTAGGCAAAAAAGAGGTGAAGCAATAGTAACAATTTATATTGGTGCTCTGCACTAGACTTCAATAAGACTTGACAGTTTTCTCATCACCCAATATACTAATTCACTTTCTGAAACAGGACTTTATCTAATAAATCTGCCTCGTTTTAACCATAGTTCTTTGCTAGGAAGTGTGGAACTAAACCAAAGTGACATTATAACTATGGATAAGGGTCTGTGTCACGTAAGGTCCAGAGTGCGGGTATGTATTGCCATATTGTTTCATTTTGAGGCCATTTTCTCAGGACAGCAACCCAGCCCAGCCATTAGAAGTAGCTCCCCAGGAGCGTGTGGTTATAATTCTACTACCTGAGATCTGAGATCACAGAATGACAAAGTAACTCATTTTCCATTGGCTGAAAAGACAGCTGACTTGAGTCAGGAGAAATTCCATAGCCAACAATTCAGACATTCTTAAAAACTTGTGTGTGAAGGAGAGGCATTATATGAAGTAGAAAAAAATGGCATCCATAATTCCCTTATGAACAATATGATATAAAGCAATATGATTTAAAAGTCAACTAATTTTTATTGTGAAAAATTGTATATATGTGCTCAAGAGTGTATGTATACATATGCAATATAAAGTATAATAGTATGAATATTATTATTGCAACCTAAAAGACAGTAACAATAATTTTTTTGCTTTTTTCCGCAGTCTGGCTAGGCACAAAATCATGAGCCACTCAAGTAGGAACAAACTTTATTTTTTAAAACTGCCGCCAATGCCCCAGACGCTCCTGGGAAGATTGCTGATCTGACAGACGCAAGCAGCAGTTCTTGCGGATCCCAAGAGGAAGTTCCTCCTCCGGAAATCCCTCCTACTGCACTTCCCCAACCAATGGGAACTCTCCAGGAGTCCCAGCAGGCCGAGGTGGACAGCAGGAGTCCAATATCCATATGAATGCAAATCTTAACATAATCATATCATCTCAATAGCTAGCTGGCATCACCTTTCAACCAAAAATGCCATGCATCATATTACTTGGCTGTGGCTCTTAGCAGTTTTGTTTTTGGTGGTGTTGGGAATTAGTACTGATGATTTTTAAATCCTTATGTATCTCTCATTCCCATTTTCCTTCTTTCCTTGGATATAAAGATCATTTTAATTTTGCTTATTTTATCCCAGAATAGATTTTTCAGTGAGAGAGAAGGAAACTTTCGTATCAAGCCTCTGAGGTTCAGGAATTGTTTGCTACTGTCTTAAGATAGAGATTGATAATCTGAATTTAGGTGCTGCCTTAATAAAATACTAAAACAAGTGGCATTGATTTAGAAGGTTTGCAGTGAGAAACAGAGAAACAAATATAGGAGGTTAGAAGACTCCTGTTTGCCTTACCAGACCAAGTTTAGAAGTCAAGGAAAAGATGTTGGGGAAAAACTAATAACTATGTGTGATGAATGTTATTGGTTGTCTTTGATAAAGGCAAAAGAGAAAAAAATACAGCTTACGATACAATTAACCAGTTTGAAAGGAGAAATAAAAGGAGAATAGAGAGAACATAAAGGGA